GGATCCCGGCAGATCCACTGCCTGAGCACCGGGATGCCCCTCGGGCTCAGAAAGAGTTTGTTTGGAGCTGGGACCAGGACGAGATGGGCTTTAAGGTCTCTCCAACCCAAAGCTGTGATTCCAAGACGATTGTGTGGTTCCCACTCTGGCTGTGCACTGGGATCACTGGGATCACTGGGAAGACTGTGGCCACGTTCCTCGCCATCCATGCCGGGCTCTGTGCAGAGCCTGTGCCGGGCGGGAGGAGGAACAGAGGTGCTTTGTGTGGCCGCAGCGTGAACCTGGCCGTGAACTGCCTGGGCGTGCCCTACTAACCAGCTGGGGCTGCTAAGCGCCCACGGCTGCCTCGAGCCCTACAGGAACGAGGGCTGAACCCAGCCGGTGGGTGAACCCCAAACCCGGGCAGTGGGATGAACTCCAAACCTGGCCAGTGGGATGAACCCCAAACCTGGCCAGTGGGATGAACCCCAAACCCAGGCAGTGGGGTGAACCCCAGCAGTGGGACCAGCCCTAGCAGTGGAATGAACCCCAGCACTGGGATGATCCCCAAGCCCCAGCAGCAGCACACCACATACCTGTACCCACCCCAGGAGCAGCAAAACAATCCCCTTTTCCTCTGGTACCTGTACCTGTACCTGTGTGGGATGAGCCCCAGCAGTGGGATGAACCCCAAACCCAGGCAGTGGGGTGAACCCCAGCAGTGGGACCAGCCCTAGCAGTGGAATGAACCCCAGCACTGGGATGATCCCCAAGCCCCAGCAGCAGCACACCACATACCTGTACCCACCCCAGGAGCAGCAAAACAATCCCCTTTTCCTCTGGTACCTGTACCTGTACCTGTACCTGTACCTGTACCTGTACCTGTTCCTGTTCCTGTCTCAGGAGCAGCAGAACAATCGCCTTTTCCTCTGGCTTTGGTACCTGTCCCTGTCCCTGTCCCTGTCCCTGTCCCTGTACCTGTCCCTGTCCCTGTACCTGTCCCTGTACCTGTACCTGTCCCAGCAGAACAATCCCCTTCTCCTCTGGCTTCCCATGACAGATAGGGTGGGCACTGTGCCCCTGCCTGGGCTGACGGGGCACAGCCCCCTCTGGAGTGCCCCCAGCCCCTCAGGAAGGGCAGGAGCATCCCCCGAGGTGGGGGCTGCAGTCCCAATCCCGCTGGGATGCTTTGGAGTCGCTGTGATGCTTTGGGTCAGGATGCTTTGGGGTCAGGATGCTTTGGGGTCATTGGGATGCTTTGGGGTTGGGATGGAGCAGGCTCCTCTGCTGAGAGGCAGGAGCCTGTCCTGGGCTGGGGTCTGAGGCAAGTTGCCTGGGCTGAAGATGGCTCCTGATGGCCATGGCTGGTCTGGGGAGCAGGAGGATCCGTGCTAGATGTCACCTGTGGAGGTGACACTGGTGGAGGTGACACCTGCAGAGGTGACACCTGTGGAGGTCACACTGGTGGAGGTGACACCTGTGGAGGTGACACCTGCACAGGTCACACCTGCAGTGCTCACACCTGCAGAGCTATCCCCCACAGGTGCTGGGGTGGGATCTGTGGCCCTGGGGCATGGCACAGCTGCTGGGGCTGCTGCCAGGCTCTTGGAGACATTCAGAGGTGACATGGTGGCTTTGGTTTGCCCAGCCCGGGTTTTCCCTGGGCAGGGCAGGAGTGGGTGGCTCTGGGACGGGGGTGCAGGGTGGGTGCAGGAGTGGGGCCGTGACTGCCACAGCAGCGAGGAGCCAGCTCAGCACCTGCAGCCTCCTGGCCCAGAGCTCCCCCAGCACAGGCTGGAGATCGGCTCCCCGCTCCAGTTCCCAGCCAGAGCCTCTTCCAGCGGCTTTTGTGGCATCCCATGAGCTCTCCTCGCTTGGTCAATCCCCAAGCCCTCAGTCCTGGAAAAATTAACTACTTACCACAGAGCCACCCCTCCCAAGAGGAAAAACACCCTTCCCCATGGGCTTGGGTGTCGCAGCTTCCTCTGGTTTCTCTTTCCCCTGTCACTGGCCTGGCAACCCTGGTGGCCACCCCCCTACCCCTGGTGGCCACCCTCCTACCCCTGCTGGTCACCACCCTTCCCCTGGTGGCCTGGCCTCTCTGCCCACCCCTTGGCTCTGCCCCCCCCGCCTTCCCCTTTACAAGCTGCCTGCTCCACGTGGTCCAGCCTCGTTCCCCGGGCTTGTCCTTGTCGTGGTGAGGACTTTGTCCCGGCTGGGTGCCACCTGGGGTGGGACAGACCCCCTTGCAGGCTCTGCAGAATCCCAGCTACCAGCGGTGGCTCGGCGCAGGAACAAAAGGCAGCAGCACGGGTCTTGGGGTGAAACTGGGGTGGCTTTATTTCATGATCAGCACCCTAGACCCAAATCTGGGGTTAACAAGAGCTTTTCTACATCCCTGGGAGGAGGGGTTTGGGGTAGCAGACCAGTAGGGGTGTGGTTGGGGTGGGGTTGGAGGCAGGGTATTTTACACTTTAATAAAGAAGCACTAGGGAGGGGAATAACTTGGGTAAACTAACAGGGTCCCAAAGGACACAAGACAGACAGGGAATTCTCCAGAAGAAAGGGCAGGTTTGGGGGAGGACTAACACCAGTGGGAGGGGGGAGCAAGGGGGATTCGGGGGAAGGGGCAGGGATAGGAGGGATTAACGCCTGGGAAGGTGGGGGTTTAAAACTTGGTAAGGAGTGGCATAAGGGGATTGCAAGGCCACAAATTGTGAAAAACGCCAATCACTTGTTTTTAAAATTTTAAAAGTTTAATAGTAATAAAATGGTTATAAAAATAGTAATATAATTAGAGTAATGAAATTTGAACAGTTGAGATTAGGACAATATGAGACAATAAAAACAAAGAGATACGGATGTCTGGGTACCTTTTTCTGGGCAACACAAGCCCGAAAAAGGACACCCGTTAACAGTGGATTAACCCTTAAAAACAATTGCCTGTTGGATATTTATAGATCTCATACATGATGCATAAATTCCATTCAAACACAGGATTCCTTCTGGTCACTGTCAATTTCTTCCTCTTAATCCTCATGCGGTCTTCCTGTCTGAGTGAGGTGGAAAGGAGTTAGTTTTCTGCTGATAAGGGAGCAATAAATTCCCTTTCTCTGAAAGATTCAGGTGTCCCGTGGCTTCTATCTGGTGCGAGTCCTTTCTTAAACAAATATCTTACATAGCATAGTTTCTATTTTAACTTATGTTATAACCTAAAACTATATTTAATACACTACTTAAGAAAATTAATACAGCATAACTTTCTAACATAACACATACAATATTCATTTTAATACTTGCGAAAAGCCACTCACAAAATGCACATTTTTCACACAAACCGAACAGTAAGCAAACTGATAAAACTAAAAACACACTGCAACGGTGACTGTGTTATTCTGCTGGAATAAAACCTTGCAAAAGAGCCTTTCTTGCCTCTGTCGCTGAGCCAGCTGTGGTGGGGCTTCAGTGGAGGTTTGGCTGCGTGGCCTGAGTGGTAACTCAGCCTGCTTTTCCACAGGAGAGGCTTGCTGGCCACAAGAGACAGGCAGCAGCACCTACCGCTGTAACATTCACATTGTTCTGTGATTCTGTGATTTTTAACTGCGATTTTTACCTGTGATTCTGTGATTTTTAACTGATTCTGTGATTTTTAACTGGCGCCCAACGTGTGGCTAGACCTTCACTCCAAAAAAGCTTTATTTCTAAGAGTGCCCCGTGGCTGTGGCAGGGAGTGTTGTGAGAGCGTGGAGACTGCTGTTCCTGGGCAGGAATCGGGTTTCAGGCGGGGTTATTTATTATTTTTGATGTATTTATTTGTGCATTTGCTGTGGGAAGAGTCGGTGTCAGTGATTGTGGGAGCACTCCCTGCTCTGGCAGTGACACGGAGGGAATTGTGCAGTGAGCTCTGGTCACACCAGAGCACCTCCCAAAGCAGGGGTTCCTGATGGTTCATTTATTATTTTTTATGTATTTGTGTATATGTATTTATGTGTATTTATGGATTTGCTGTGGGAAGTGTCAGTGATTGTGGGAGCACTCCCTGCTCTGGCAGTGACACGGAGGGGATTGTGCCGTGAGCTCTGGTCACCGTGCACCTCCCAAAGCAGGGGTTCCTGCCGGTTCATTTATTATTTTTAATGGATTTATTTGTGCATTTGCTGTGGGAAGTGCCAGTGTCAGTGATCGTGGGAGCACTCCCTGCTCTGGTGGTGACACAGACGGGATTGTGCCGTGAGCTCTGGTCACTGTGCACCTCCCAAAGCAGGGGTTCCTGCCGGTTCATTTATTATTTTTAATGTATTTATTTGTGCATTTGCTGTGGGAAGTGCCAGTGTCAGTGATCGTGGGAGCACTCCCTGCTCTGACAGTGGCACAGAGGGGATTGTGCAGTGAGCTCTGGTCACACCAGAGCACCTCCCAAAGCAGGGGTTCCTGTTGTTCATTTATTATTTTTTATGTATTTGTGTATATGTATTTATGTGTATTTATGGATTTCACCAGAGCACCTCCCAAAGCAGGGGTTCCGTGCTCAGAACCTCTCTGGATTCCCAGAAACGCCTGGATGGAGGTGGGGCTGTGCATAACCAGGTTAACCAGTCAGGTCTGGCTGATCAGGTCAGGAGGGGCCAAAGAGGAAAGAAAATGGGTTTTTTTGGGAGCTGCCCGTGCAGCAGGTGGTGCCAGCCTCCCCTGAAGGGTCATTGTAGAACACGAGAAAACACAACGTGGATTTGGTTGCTTTTTTTAAGGTAAAAAAGCAAGTTTATTTTCTGGCTTATAACATTTATAGATTTTTAAAAGTGACAGCAGATTGGAGGGTGAAGGTGCCACCTCTCCAATGACACTGGACGAATTAACAGCTTATTAAATTTTTATTTTTCCACAAAAAACAGCAAAACAATAAGGGTTGTTTACATATATCCATATATTTGTGTGAGAAAATTCTTTACAAGAATGTAAAGATCAGAAGGCTTAGAAAATCTTAAAAAACCAGGGTGACACTGAAGCCCCCCTGTCCCCAGGTGAACCAGGGGAACATGCCTGGCATCCAGAGCACCTTCCTGGCCATGGACACGGAGGAGGGAGTGGAGGTGGTGTGGAACGAGCTGCTCTTCACCGACAAGAAAGCCTTCAAAGCACACGAGGTGAGCCCCCCACGCCTTCCTGGGGGGCACAGCCTGGCAGGACGTGCTCCTGCCCCCTGGCACAGGGCACAGAGCCCTCCTCGGCTCCCAGGGGGCTCCCAGGGATCTCAGAGCAGTGCCTGGGGCATCCCCAGGGCTTGGGGGGGGCCCTGCCCCATCCCAGGAACTTCTGTGTGCCAGGACCTCCATCTCATGTGTCCTGCCCCTTGCCAGGAGCTTCCTCCTCACCTGTCCCATCCCAAGAGCTCCCACCTCACCTGTCCATCCCAGGAGCTTCTGCCTCACCTGTCCTGTCCCATCCCAGGAGCTTCTGCGTGCCAGGAGCTTCCTCCTCACCTGTCCCATCCCAGGAGCTTCCACCTCACCATTCCTGCCCCATCCCAGCACCTTCCTCCTCACCTGTCCTTTCCCATCCCAGGAGCTTCTGTGTGCCAGGAGCATCCTGCTCACCTGTTCTGTCCCAGGAGCATCGTGCTCACCTATCCTGTCCATGGCAGGAGCTTCCACCTCACCTGTCCTGCCCCATCCCAGGAGTATCCACCTCACCTGTCCTGTCCCGGGAGCTTCTATGTGCCAGGAGCTCCCTCCTCACCTGTCCTGCCCCATCCCAGCACCTTCCACCTCACCTGTCCCATCCCAGGAGCTCCCTCCTCACCTGTCCTGCCCCATCCCAGCACCTTCCACCTCACCTGTCCTGTCCATGGCAGGATCTTCTGTGTGCCAGGAGATTCCACCTCACAGGAGCTCCCTTCTCACCTGTCCTGCCCATCCCAGCACCTTCCACCTCGCCTGTCCTGCCCCATCCCAGGAGCTTCTGTGTGCCAGGAGCATCCTGCTCACCTGTCCATCCCAGGAGCATCCTCCTCACCTGTCCTGTCCACGCCAGCCCCTCACCTGCCCATTCCAGCCCCTCACCTGCCCCACTCCAGCCCCTCACCCTGGGGGGCTCTGGGGGGCTCCGGGGGGCTCCGGGGGGGTCCCAGCGCTGCCCCTCGGCCTCCCCTCCCCTCTGGGGGGAGCTGAGCCCCCCCTGTGCCCTGCCAGGTCATCTTCATCACGGAGTACGTGTCCTCGGGGAGCCTCAAGCAGTTCCTCAAGAAGACCAAGAAGAACCACAAGGCCATGAACGCGCGGGTGAGCTCCTGGGGACACCCCGGTCCCCGGGGGGGTGGCTCTGGGTCCCTGGCCCTGTGACAGGGTCTCTGGGACCAATCTGGGCACAGCAGGTGGCTCTGGGTCCCTGGCCCTGTCCCTGGGAAGGGGTGGGAAGCCCTGGCCTGGCCGGGGTACCATCGTGTCCCGGCTGACAGAGCTTTGTCCCCTCTGTGTCCATCCCCTCTCTGTCCCCTCTCTGTCCCCGCTCTGTCCCCTCTCTGTCCCCGCTCTGTCCCCGCTCTGTCCCCAGGCCTGGAAGCGCTGGTGCACCCAAATCCTCTCGGCTCTCAGGTGAGGCTCCGGCCGCTCCCCGCCCTGCCCCGCGGGCAGCCGGGGCTGGGGCTGTGCTCGGGACACTCTGTGCCCCCTCCTGTGCCACCTTTGTGACCCCCCGTGACCCCTCTGTGCCCACCTGTGCCCTCCTGTGAAGGGGGCCTGGGGGGTCCGAGGGGATCAGAGGGGGTCTCATGGGGTCAGAGGGGGTCATGAGGGGTCCCGAGGGGTCGGGGGAGGTCCCGAGGGGGTCAGAGAGGGTCCCGAGGGATCTGGGGGGTTGGCAGGAGGAAGGGGTGGGGGTCACACGGGGTGTGGGGGGACCCCGGGCAGGCAGGAGCCCCGAGGATTGCGGGGTCCCTTTTTGGGGTGCCAACCTCGGCGTCGCCTTTTCTTCCCCTGTGCCCTCCCAATGCCCGCCCCGGCAGTCTGGCACCGGGTGTTCGCCAACGGTGAGTGACCCACGGCCACGCCCGGCCCGGGGGACACCCCTGAGCCCCCAGACCCACCGGGGGCACCGGGCACGGGGCATGGCCTGGGCGCTGCGGGGAGGGGGCACGGGTGGGCTCTGTCCTGGGTGTCCCTGTCCCGAGTGTCCCTGTCCCGATGTCCCTGTCCCAGTGTCCCTGTCCCGGTGTCCCTGTCCCGGTGTCCCTGTCTCAGTGTCCCTGTCCCAGGTGTCCCTGTCCCAGTGTCCCTGTCCCAGGTGTCCCTGTCCCCGGTGTCCCTGTCCCGGGTGTCCCTGTCCCAGTGTCCCTGTCCCAGTGTCCCTGTCCCGGGTGTCCCTGTCCCAGTGTCCCTGTCCCGGTGTCCCTGTCACGGGTCTCCCTGTCCCGGTGTCCCTGTCCTGGTGTCCCTGTCCTGGTGTCCCTGTCCCAGGTGTCTCTGTCCCCGGTGTCCCTGTCCCGGGTGGGCTCTGTCCCGGTGTCCCTGTCCCAGGTGTCCCTGTCCCGGTGTCCCTGTCCCGGGTGGGCTCTGTCCCGGTGTCCCTGTCCTGGTGTCCCTGTCCCGGTGTCCCTGTCCCTCAGAGCCGCCCCTCTCCGCAGCGCTCCCGGACGATCTGCGCAGCCCCATCCGGATCGAGCGGGAGGAGCTGCGGAACCTGCACTTCTTCCCACCGGAATACGGCCGTGAGTGGGAACGGGAACAGGGAACGGGAATGGGGATGGGAACGGGAAAGAGGAATGGGGAACGGGAACGGGGAATGGGAATGGGAACGGGAACAGGGACGGGAATGGGAACGGGGAATGGGAATGGGAAACAGGAATGGGAATGGGAATGGGAACGGGAATGGGGAAAGGGAATGGGAATGGAATGGGGAAAGGGAATGGGAATGGGAATGGGAATGGGAATGGGAATGGGGACGGGAATGGGAATGGGAATGGGGATGGGAACGGGAAACAGGAATGGGGAACGGGAACGGGGAATGGGAATGGGAATGGGGATGGGAATGGGAATGGGAATGGGAATGGGGACGGGAATGGGAATGGGAATGGGAATGGGGACGGGAATGGGAATGGGAATGGGAATGGGGACGGGAATGGGAATGGGAATGGGAATGGGGACGGGAATGGGAATGGGAATGGGAATGGGGACGGGAATGGGAATGGGAATGGGAATGGGGACGGGAATGGGAATGGGAATGGGAATGGGGACGGGAATGGGAATGGGAATGGGAATGGGGACGGGAATGGGAATGGGAATGGGAATGGGGACGGGAATGGGAATGGGAATGGGAATGGGGACGGGGATGGGAATGGGAATGGGGAAGGGGAAGGGGAATGGGAATGGGAACAGTGGCTGCATGGCAGGGGATGGCAGGAATGGGAAGGGGACACGGGTGGGAACAGGTGAGGGCAGGTGGGAAGAGGTGAGTGTAGGAGTGGCAACCCACGGGGATGGAGTGGGGTGGGGGTGCCCAGGTGGGAATGTCCTGGGGCTGCCCAGGTGGGTGTGTCCATGTGGGGGTGCCCAGGTGGGGGTGCCCAGGTGGGGGTGCCAGGTGCACTCCAGCCCTGACCCTCCCCGTGTCCCTCTTGTGCTGCAGAGAAGGCCGACGGCACGGCCGTGGACATCTTCTCCTTCGGGATGTGCGCGCTGGAGGTGCGGGGGGACCCTGGGAGCGGTGGGACCCTGCCGGGAGGTGTCACCATCCGGGGCTGCTCCCTGTCCGGGGCTGTCCCCTGTCCCTGTCCCTGTCCTGGGGTGTCCCCTGTTCCTGTCCCTGTCCCTGCCTGGGGCTGCTCCCTGTCCGGGGCTGTCCCCTGTTCCTGTCCCTGCCTGGGGCTGTCCCTTGTCCCTGTCCTGCCTGGGGGTGTCCGTTGTCTGTGCCCTGTCTGGGGCTGTCCCCTGTCATTGCCCTGTCCCCTGGAAAGTCCCCACAGCCTGGCCGTGTCCCTGTCCCCTGGGAAGCCCCCCAGCCTGGCCGTGTCCCTGTCCCCTGGGAACTGCACGGACTGGCCGTGTCCCTCTCCCTGGCCGTGTCCCTGTCCCTGGCCGTGTCCCTGTCCCTGGAAGCCCCCCAGCCTGGCCGTGTCCCTGTCCCTGGAGGCCCCCCAGCCTGGCCGTGTCCCTGTTCCCTGGGAAGTCCCCATGGACTGGCCGTGTCCCTGTCCCTGGCCGTGTCCCTGTCCCTGGAGGCCCCTCAGCCTGGCCGTGTCCCTGTCCCCTGGCAGATGGCCGTGCTGGAGATCCAGACCAACGGGGACACGCGGGTGTCGGAGGAGGCGATCGCGCGGGCGCGGCACTCGCTGGATGACCCCAACATGAGGGTGAGGGCAGAGGGGACAGTCCGTGTCCTGTGTCACTTTTGGGTGTGAATCCCTGTCCTGTGTCACTGCTGGGGTCACTGCTGGGGACAGTGTCACTGCTGGGGACAGTTCTGTGTCACTGCTGGGGACAATCCCTGTCCTGTGTCACTGCTGGGAGTGAATCCCTGTCCTGTGTCACTGCTGGGGACAGTCCTGTGTCACTGCTGGGACAGTCCCTGTTCAGGATGGTGTTGGCACGTGTGGATTGGTTCATGGTGAAGGTGCACTTGGGGAGGGGGCACGGGGGCAGCTCCATGGGCTGGGAGCTGTGTTCCAGCCCGTGATCCTGGCATCCCCGAGGGAGGAGCAGGGCGATGCCTGCCCGCCCCAGCTCGTGGCCCTGCTGTGCCCCAGGAGTTCATCCTGTCCTGCCTGACCCTGAACCCCGACCGGCGCCCGAGCGCCAACAGCCTCCTGTTCCACCGCGTGCTCTTCGAGGTGCACTCGCTGAAGCTGCTGGCAGCCCACTGCTTCATCAACCACCAGTGTGAGTGCCGGCACAGCCCGGGCCCCGGGAGAGCCGGGAATGCTCAGCCGGGGTGGGAGAGCCGGGCTGGGAGAGCTGGGAGTGCTCAGCATGGAGGGGAGAGCCAGGCTGGGAGAGCTGGGAATGGTCAGCCAGGCTGGGAGAGCTGGGAATGGTCAGCATGGAGGGGAGAGCTGGGAATGGTCAGCATGGAGGGGAGAGCTGGGCTGGGAGAGCTGGGAATGCTCAGCCGGGCTGGGAGAGCTGGGAATGCTCAGCCTGGAGGGGATGAGCTGGGAATGCTCCCCTGGAGAACAGAAGGGTCCAAGAAGAGCTCAGACCCCTCACAGGGCCTGGAGGGGCTCCAGGACAGCTGCAGCTGGGCTGGGAGAGCTGGGAATGCTCAGCATGGAGGGGAGAGCTGGGCTGGGAGAGCTGGGAGTGCTCAGCCAGGCTGGGAGAGCTGGGAATGGTCAGCCGGGCTGGGAGAGCTGGGCTGGGAGAGCTGGGAATGTTCAGCATGGAGGGGATGAGGTGGGAGTGCTCAGCTGGGCTGGGAGAGAGAGCTGGGAACTGGCACAGGGTGCCCAGAGCAGCTGTGGCTGCCCCTGGAGCCCTGGCAGTGCCCAAGGCCAGGCTGGACAGGGCTGGGAACACCTGGGACAGTGGGAGGTGTCCCTGCCATGGCAGGGGTGGCACTGGGTGGGATTTGGGGTCCCTCCCACACAAACCACGCTGTGATTCCACGTGCAGGGCCTGGGGAGGGGGGCAGGGGCTGCAGGACCCACCCCCCCGTGCCTCTGCCCCAGATCTGATGCCAGAGAACGTGGTGGAAGAGAAGATCAAGGAGCTGGACCTGAACATGGTGATGGCTGAGATCCGCAGGGAGGGCCGGCCTGGGGCACAGTGGAGGTGAGGGTGGGGGAGACCCCCAGCCCAGAAATGCCCCCAGCCCGGAGACCCCCAGCCTGGAAACCCCCCCAGGCCAGAGACACCCCCATCCTGAAGACCCCGGAGGACGTCAGGTGGGTGCCAGCTCTGCCCGGGCTCCGGCATGTGGGGCCGGGGTGGGCACGCGGCAGTGTCCCTGCTGTCCCCAGGGGGTGGGCACACGGGATTGTCCCTGCTGTCCCCAGGGGAATGCGGGGCCGGGGTGGGCACACGGCAGTGTCCCTGCTGTCCCCAGGGGATGGGCACACGGGAATGTCCCTGCTGTCCCCAGGGGATGGGCACACGGCAGTGTCCCTGCTGTCCCCAGAGGAATGTGGGGCCGGGGTGGGCACACGGCAGTGTCCCTGCTGTCCCCGGCTGTCCCCAGCTGTCTCCAGAGGAATATGGGGCCGGGGTGGGTACACGGCAATGTCCCTGCTGTCCCCAGCTGTGCACACGGCAGTGTCCCTGCTGTCCCCAGAGGAATGTGGGGCCGGGGCAGGCTGGAGACCCCCCCCGCTTGGAGACCCTCCCAGCGTGGAGATCCCCAGCCTAGAGACCCCCCATCCTGGAGACCCCCCCATCCTGGAGACCTCCCTGCCTGGAGACCCCCATCCTGGAGCCCCCCAGCCCGGGGCAGCAGCCCCCCAGCCCCGACCCTCCTGTCCTTCCCCTGCCCAGGTACTCCGAGGTTTCCTTCCTGGAGCTCGACAAGTTCTTGGAGGACGTCAGGTGGGTGCCAGCTCTGCCCAGGCTCCGGCATGTGGGGCCGGGGTGGGCACGCGGCAGTGTCCCCTACTGTCCCCAGGGGGTGGGCACACGGCAGTGTCCCTGCTGTCCCCGGCTGTCCCCAGCTGTCTCCAGAGGAATATGGGGCCGGGGTGGGTACACGGCAATGTCCCTGCTGTCCCCAGCTGTGCACACGGCAGTGTCCCTGCTGTCCCCAGAGGAATGTGGGGCCGGGGTGGGCACGCGGCAGTGTCCCCTACTGTCCCCAGGGGGTGGGCACACGGCAGTGTCCCTGCTGTCCCCAGAGGAATGTGGGGCCGGGGTGGGTACACGGGAGTGTCCCTGCTGTCCCCAGCTGTCCCTGCTGTCCCTGTCCCTGCCCGAGCCAGCCGTGCCAGCCGCAGGGATGGGCTCAGCTCGGTGCCCCCTCCGTGTCTGCCCAGGAACGGGATCTACCCCCTGATGAACTTCGCGGCCTCCCGGCCCCACGCGCTGCCCCGCGCCCTGTCCCAGCCCCAGGAGGACCCCCAGAAAGCCAAGACCCCCACGCCAGAGCCCTTTGATGTGGAGACCAGGAAGGTGAGGGCAGCCCGGGCCGGGAGAGGAGCTGGGGATCCCTCAGGAATTGCAGAGTGCTGCCCCGGGAGCGGGGACGGGTCCAGGCTGATCCCGGCTGGGCTTTTCCAGGTGGTGCAGATGCAGTGCAACATGGAGCTGAACGAGGACAAGAGCCAGTGGCACGTGAGTGCCTGGATCCTGCCCCGCTCCCTGGCCGTCCCGTTGGGAATGGGAATGGGAAATGGGAAATGGGACTGGGATTGGGGCTGGGAATGGGAAATGGGACTGGGATTGGGGCTGGGAATGGGAAATGGGACGGGGATTGGGGCTGGGAATGGGAAATGGGACTGGGAAATCTGCCAGTGGCACGTGAGTGCCTGGATCCTGCCCTGCCCATCCTGCTGGGAATGGGGCTGGAATGGGAATGGGATGGGACTGGGACTGGAAATGGGACTGGGAAATGGGGCTGGGAAATGGGGAATGGGACTGGGAAATGGGACTGGGAAATGGGGCTGGGAAATGGGGCTGGGAATGGGAAATGGGACTGGGAAATGGGGCTGGGAAATGGGACTGGGAAATGGGGCTGGGAAATGGGGCTGGGAATGGGAAATGGGACTGGGAAATGGGGCTGGGAAATGGGACTGGGAAATGGGGCTGGGAATGGGAAATGGGACTGGGAAATGGGGCTGGGAAATGGGACTGGGAAATGGGGCTGGGAAATGGGGCTGGGAATGGGAAATGGGACTGGGAAATGGGGCTGGGAAATGGGACTGGGAAA